TAATGGTTGAGATATAATGACAATAATTGTGATTTACAACATTCAAGTGATTTAGCATAGTCATGCACTTGTATCTTATATAGCCATAGGTAATGTGAATGTATATTATGTATACACACGTACTCACATTGTTGGATCTAATTGCTGCACGTCTAACTCTGTGTCCTGCAGGCGAACAGCCGCTCCACTTCATCCTCAGGGTCTCTTCATAAAGGAACGTGAAGACACATCGTGTTCTTGTCGTCTTCCAGCGTGCACGACGCTGACTGCTGAACAAAGACGCCTGTTGTTCTTTCCAGGAACCAGCCATAACTCCTAAAGGACAGGGGCACACGTTAATCCACAATATACAGTATGCAAAGCAATGAGGTGGACTCACTTTTTTTTGTCATAGTTTACGGTTGTTTCATTTGAAGTGTTAGAAATGCTTGTTTTTAAAGAATGTAGGTATATTAGTTACTGAAACACACATCGATATTCGTTCTCTGGAAATGAGGCAGAACCATTGTTGTACAAATGGTGGAAAGACACTGTGTGGCAGCACGGGCAGAAATGAAGAGAGAGAGAAGGACATCTGCTGGTTGAGGACAAAAATAATATCTGAAATACCAAATCTTACAAATAAAAGTTCTATTAAAACATTCAGAATTATAAGAACTAGGAAACCCCAGATGTTTTATGTCATGTTTACCTTTTTCATGTATGTTTCAATTTTCAGTTTAATGTCCTTTATGGAGTTTATTGTTTTTTGCTTTTGGATTATTATTGTCTCAACATCCAGAATATACAACAAGGCAATGATAAAAAAAATCTGGGTGAAATCATTTCAGTTTTATGTCCATATTCACAGATTATTCAAACTTGACTGGAGCTGTCAGTGATTAATGGCCGATTGTTGTTATCTCTGTTCTGTATCATGACAGTGAACACAGAAAGGTTCTCAGTCAGTTATTTTCTCTTCAGTTACAGTGAATCCCAGCAGAGGATCTCTTCCACAGTCACTAACAAAGCACATCCCCATCGTCCCTCTGCCAGCACCATCTTAACGGGCTAAACTAGGCTGCGGCTCTATTAAGTTCAGGACAGGATGCACTGGTTGTGTTATTATCACTTAAATCAAATTGTTCTGCAGCACAAAATCTGATGTGGTGAACTGGTTCAACTCTAAAACTAAAACCATTATTCACCTTATTATTTTTGCATTTGTCACTCAAATGAAATATTTTATGACACAAACACTTTTAGACAAAACTTTCCCCACATCCAAAATGTTTCAGGAGTCACTGGGTGTGTACTATTTACCAGTGCATTGCTGATGGGCTTCATCAATGCACCAGGGACAAGATTAACACTCTTCCTCAGACTGTAAATTGGCATCAGGGTAGAATTATATCCTATTTTGGTCAAACAGCAGAATCTGTGGCACCATGGCCTTTACCATTTAATTCCATATTTATTCATTTGGCTGTCGCCAAATTTGAAAGGTCCAGAATGGACAATCAATTACTCTTGAGAAAACAGGAAAAATAAATGCAAGTCATGGCCATCATTGTCACCAGTTTGTTGAAACAGGTTTGTGGTGAAATAACCAGTGAGCCATGAAGAGTTGTTACCTGTTCTTTAATTCTCAAGGCTTGAATTTGTCCTTTGTGTCCCAGATCAGGAAATTGTGTAAACATCTTTTCACATTGTTCTTGTTATGTAGCAATTTAATGCTGTAATTTTTTTAGAATTAGAAAAATGTAGCGAGAATTTCTACTGATGTGGTCCCGACTCACATCTGCCTGAAAAAACTACGGTTGTAAAAACTGTAAAAATATTTGTTTTTGACTTTTTGAAATTCACCTCAATCTCAATTTGTTTTCCTGTCTTTTCTGTTTGCAGATTTGTTTAGTATGTTTCTATTTTAGTTCTACTGATTCAGTGTATTCATCTCCCATAGAGAAATAGTCTATGCATTTGACAGAGAGCCATCGAGTTATGGATTCTTGGGAGATCTTGAGAATACATAAATTATTACTGGAGTATTAACTCTATGAATTGTGTGGAAAATTGTTGTTTTGATAAATATTGTAAAGGATAGTTT